CCCCCCGGCCCCGTACTCTGAGCGGAAATCCTAGACTACCGCCATTCCCTTTAGCTTAAACCCTTGCTGGCCGGCTGGCCGGTCGCCCCGCCTCCCTGCCATCCCGCCTCCTATCCTTCCCAGGCCAATTGGCTAAACAGCCAATTGTCAGTAATTTACCCCCGGGCCTCCCTCATGTCTCGGCGCTCAAAGCAGCGTGTAGTGTCCGACGGGAGTGTCGAACAGGACGACAGCGAGGGGGAGGAGGTTATGACGGCCGCCGCCGCCTCACAAGTGCTCGCGCAGCGGCTCGTCAAACTCAGAGAGCCGCGACTGTGCTAAAACACACACTCTTGGCGATTCAAAAAGCGCGGCAATAATTTCCGGGAAAAAAATCGTAACTCTTCCTTTAAAAAATGGGAAACGTATAATTTTTTCAGAAAAGTTTGATTAATTTTTACCTTTTTAGAAAACAAAAATCTGCCCACCAAAAGATTTTAAACTAATGTGTTTTCTGAAAAGGTTTTCTAGAAAAAAATTAAATTCCTGCATATGCACTACAACCACAACGCCACTTGCTGTGAGCAGCGGTGCAGATTGAGGCTCTATAGAATCCGGACCGCCTTGCGCATGAATGTGCATATAGAAAGGCATAGCCACACGTCATACATAATGCAGTCAAACGCGGGAACTGCAAATTTATACATTACCATGTTTATTGCGGCGCATGTCGCCACGACAACCGGTGGCCCTGCCCTGCCGGCTCTCGCGGTCACAACACGGCCACCTCCAGAACCAGTGGCCACACAGTGGCCACGACAACTTGCCACGCAATGGTCACTCAGTGGTCCATACTCACTGGTCACAGAGCGGTCACTCAGTGTCCAACACAGAGGTCACACAGTCGACGCACAACACACTGTATTACAAAGTCATTCAGTTGCGTGCAAAGCAGCAACAGCGGACAGGCGGCTACGCTTGCGGCAGACACTCCGGGAAGTGCGCTGCAGCCCTCCTCGAGCCAAGGGGTAAGGGGGGGGGGGGGATGCCCAAATCCCAATGTGCTAATCCACGCCGCTTTGCAAGACAACGAGGCCGCCGTCTGCGCGGTGCTTGCTGCGCGTCGGGGAGGGGAGGAAGGGGCCCGCCACCGTCGTGCGTCACGGCTGGCGCGGGAGGGCTTGCGCCGTCGCTCCATGATCTCCAGGAGCACTGCACACCAGCAGATTTCCAATATTTATTCATGAACTTGCCGTTGTGTGTCACCGGCGGCTCGGCTCATGGGTCTGACGAGCGTCGCGCGCACTCCCGAACCTCCCGAAGTCGTCTTCGCCGGCGCCGAGGCACCTGCTCGCGCTGCAGGTGGAGCACCTCACCTGCATAAACTAAACAAAAAATCCAGGCTATGAACCATTAAAATCTTGAGACCTGCCCACGTGATTTTTTCACGTTGGCTGGACTGTCATTGTAAACTGCTAACCACTCCTCACTCTTTACTAACGCAGTCTCTTCTCGTTCTTCCACCAGGTCCTGGACAAGACGTCGCCCCTCCTCCGTCAGCATGGCGGCCCCCGTGGTGAACGACGAGGTCGCCAAGGACCCCGGGGCCCAACAGCCGCACCACCAGGGCTTCTCCGACGAGGACTTCGAAGGTGAGCGCCGCGCCCCTCCTCCAGCGTTATGGCACCCCCTCACGCCATAGAGGGCCCGGGGAAAGAATGCAGGCCCTCCCTCCCTCC